TCCATGTTCTTCACAAAGAAGAGCCAAAAGTCATCTCTCGAACATGCGAGTAAAGAACCTGCACCCCAAAACCTTGGTGATGCTTCTCTGCAGGGGCACAATGAGCCCCTGAACCCTCTACCCCTTGGAGATGCTGCTCTGCATGAGCAGGATAGACCCATGAGACCCCAGACCCATAGAGATGCTGCTTTCCACCCCTATGGGGCAGGTTTCCATGGCAGGTAACAGCCCTTCCCTCGGAGATGGCCACACCAGCAGCCTCAGAGGGGGTTTCCATACACCACTTCCAGCCATCTGACAGACGGCTCAGCCTTGGGAGAAGAGAGGAGGTGGGCACCACAAGCACCCCAGGAGCTGCTGCTCAGGGGACATGGCTGAATTTGGCTGTACCTCTGGGCTTGTAGATGGTGTTTCTCTCTTGCTCCTCGCCCGTTTCCCTTTAACACTGAGCGTAAGAATCCCACGAAGTCTCCAGCAGAGGGAGAACTTCCAGGACAGAGGGACCAGCAAGAGGATGGTGGGACTCCTCTGGTGGGACTCCCTGGAGCTGAAGCTTCTCCTTTGGATGGGTGCTGCTGTTGGACACAGCATACTGGTGTGAGAGGGGAGATCTCATTCAGTATCATGAGGAGGACTTTAGGGAAGCTTCTTCAGGGAATGCTGCTGCTCCTGAGGCTTCACTGTCAGTGCTCCTCCTACCCCAAGGCAGGAACAGTTACCCATCAGCTCAGCTTCTGGGCCACCAGCCCAGACTAAAGAACACAGAAGAAACATGCAGGATTCCTACTACGAAGAGAAGATTTTATTACTTGTAACACTTCATTGAGCTGAATCCACAGAGCAACACACAGAAATGGTTCAGGAAAGTGCAAATCCTCACTCTGTAGCTGGAGTATCCTAGTTTTACAGAACAGGTACTGGGTAAACAAGAGCACAGATCCAGAACTGCCCAGGATTCTAGACAAGGAGAACGATGCAACTTCAGATACTTCAATCACCTTTGTACAAAGCTACTCTGGAGCAAAGGGGAGGATGGGGAATGTCCTGGGTCTCTCTAACCAACAAGGCATCACCATGCAAAAAGCCCCAACTCTTACTTGGGGAGAGGGCAAAAAGGGGGGAAGACACAATGAAGTGATGACAATATTGGTTTTTAGATTAAAGAGAACATCTGAGTGCTTTCCAAAGCAGACCACATGTTCCACCATGTCCTACAGGACAGAAACCATCATTCCACCTCATGCCTTCTCCCTCAATGCTCTGGTAGTTTCACTTTACTCCCTTTAATAAAACAGAAGGTGAAATCCCCAGTGCTTTGGGAGCCAGAGAAAGCAGGGACACAAAGTGCTTCCCGAGTTCTGCTGCACACCAGGGAGTGACACCAGGAATCTCACCACACAGGTATCCTCCAGCAAGAGCCACGGGAGGTGCTGGAGACCAACCAAGCACCACCCAAGGCAGGTAAAGGAGCCCAGGCAGTGTGTACTGCATGTTGAAACTCACCTCAGCATCCGAAACACTTTAATTCTTGTTCCTAACTTACTCTGTGGATGACACAAATAAGTAGCTCCCCTCCTTAGAAGGAAGAGTTAGGGAAATGAGGAGACCTCCTCAGGCAAGACCCTGGCCCAAGGGAAACCTGGCTCCTTGGAGGTACCTCCTGCTGGGTGCAAGGGAAGTGAAGCAGGACTGACCCATCATGTGGCTGGGCACCAGGACACAAAGCAGGGGCTACAAGACTTTGGGCTATAGCTCAAGCTGTGCCTGAAGCTTCCAGTCAAACTCACCCTGTGTTAAACACGCTCCCTCCTCCTCTTCCACGCAGGAGTTGAGATTCACTCGTGCTGTGGCAGGAAGTATCTTCTAGAGGCGCAGGAGGACACACATGAACAGCACTTGAAGGTATTTAAGCCACACACTGGACACTGTATCACAACTAGAATAAAACATTCAGCTACAAGCTCTGTCCTATAGATGTTCAGCCCCGCCTGGCAGCCCTGTGCTTAGAGATGTCCTGTCCTAGGCCCAACTTCATCACATATCTGAGCGAGACAGAGATTAAACCTGTCACAGCACGAAGGGAAAGGGCAAACCTGAGCCCTCCTAACTTCATCAAATGCTACACCCAAGTCACTGCTGCACAAGCACAGTTAAAGCCCATGACTGGTTGCAGACCAGCCTCTGAAGAGGTGTATTTTAACTGGAAGCTCCTAATAAACAACATCCATACTTTACTTCGATCTGCTATCTGCTTCCTACTCAAGTCTGGAAAGCCTTTGTTCTTATCTGGAAAGTAGTAAAGAATAGCTGACAACTGAAAGAAGGTTGTGCACGAGTCCAACAAACTCCAACACGATGTAGAACAAAGTTAGAAGTAAGAGAATTACAGAACTTCACATAATAGAAGGGAAGCAAGATCAGAGGGAGGAGATAAAGGAGGAGTTCCACAAATGGAACAGTATAAATATATCAAACAGTACAAATACAGTAGGAAAAACAATGGTAGCAGCAGTTTAAAAACAGCAATAGTTATTATACCCTTAAATACATTCAACACGTTGTGCCTGTTGCTGTTCCTGAAGCACTACTAAGTCTCTAACTCACTGTTCAAATCTATGGACAAGAAGAATCCCAGGTACTAAACTCCCTGTATTTGTCTTTATTATTAAAGATATTTAAACTGTGAACAGTTACCAACTGCTAAGAATGCTGACTGGAAAACATAAGCACAATTTGCTTCCATACTGCATTTCTAACACTTGCCTACTGAAAGAAAGCAGATCCTTGGGGGAAGTTGCAGGTTCCTGCTCTTTGTAGGAGCATCAACTCAAGACATAACTCCTAATGCTAACTGCTACAATACACACAGAGCTGGCCTTACACACACACTATGCTTTTTACAGTGTTTACCTTTGTTCAAACCTATGTTCTAAGTCACTTGTTCTCTTCTGTATTACTAAAAGCCTATTTAAGAACAAATCCAAACTGCCCAAGGCTTTACTCTGCTGCCACTGGAAGGAATGATGAATCCTCCTTCAACTTCACTGCAGTTGGGATCCAGATCTGCACCTTTATGTGAAAGCTGAAGCCAAAGCAGCAGTCAGAAACACCTTCGTACCTCCTGACACCTACGAAGCACTGTACAACAACATGAGGATACTTTAAGTGTAAATGCATTCACCCTGTTTCCCCCCCCGCCCATCAGTCAAATGTACAGTCAAGGAAAGAAAACCAACAAAGTTTTTTGGCATTAGATACATCTCACTCCATTGCAGAACGATTTGGAAGCATTTCCTCTGAAAGTAATAAATAAATATCAGTGGCCAACACGAATTTGTGCAACACAGACCTCCTGCAGTACATGTACATTCATATACAGCAAAATACTTCTCCACGGTTATAGTGCAAAGCTGCTGTCAGCATGAAATACCCAACATGGAACCTCTGGTGCTCATTGGAGCTGTGTAGATGTGACACACACAAATCCACTGCACAATCCTGTGGCATCCAGCTGTAAGGGTATAATAAGAGAAAGGACAAATGGAGAGATTTAACAATAGTGGCAAGACAAGAGCTTTAAGTTAAGTGCATCCTAGGTTCTCACATAACCTTTGGTAGAGCCCTTAAGAGTTGAGTTTATCTACTTCTTTTACTGTAAAGCGATAGCAGGGAGATATCCAGAACATACTGACTTTATTCTGGAAGCTTCTATAGCAATTTAGACACATGAGCAAGTATTATTCTCATTTAATCAATACCCAGTTTTCCTTGAAGCATTGCTTCAGTTAAAGTATCTTCCATGGCTTTTCTGAGCCAAAACGTGGCTTTTACTTTCCAAAATCCTAAACATCTCCATGAGAACTTCTGTAGTGGCCTACTTTGGGGGGGAAGAAGGGATTAGTTGTATCACTTTACTCAAGCAAAGGCAGGAAACAGAAGGGAAGTTATTAGAAATATGTTAGAAAAGATGAAGAATAGTATTTGCAACTGCTGTTGTAACAAAAATGAGCTTACAAGGTACGACAGAAAGTAACGGTTTAGTAACTAGAAAAGAAAGTATGATGGTGTCAGGATCTCACCTCCAGGTCCATTCCTTTTTTAATACACAGACAATATGAATTCAAGATATAAACCCCCCAAAAACTCACTAATTGGAATTTTCAGTCAAACTTACTGGATTTCTGACACCTTTAAGATTTAAGGTCTCTCTCTCCCTTGAGAGACATAGGCCAAAAGAAAGTGGTTGCAAAGTAGTTACAATGGGCAATTTAACCAGGGAATGAGTAAGTTTCTACCCCTCTGGAAGCACTGTGTAATTCAAACCCAGCCTGCAAGTGGAACTCTGTGCGTTGCCACTATTGTTACACCGTTGAGTAAATATTTTAAGGTACACACAGGGAAGTTACAGCGCACCAAGAGCACCTTTAACAACAGAAAGTTACTTCAGTAGCTGAAAAAGGTCATATTGAACAACTTGCCTAAACAAGGAATGCAAAGCACTGAACTCTACTTCCACTTGTTGGGAAATGAAGAGCTGTAATGACACCTACACTCTCACACAACAGCTAGGAAGAAACAGGCTTCTTTGTCAGGTTGGAGCAATTGCTTCCTTTAAGTGACTGTCTGATTATAAAATCTTTTCACACAAAAGCTATTTGCTACCTGAAATGAGTTTAAGACAAGATCTAGTGGCTAAGATCTGTCTCAAACCTACGAGGGCAGTTCATTTGCATTGGTGCAGGTTAATTTAGTCTTTTAGTCAAAAGGACAGAAAACCATAGTAACAAATTCCATCCTTTTCTCCTACCTCCTCTCCTTATCCCAGTTTTCCAGCCCTGCCTTTGGTGAAAAGCCTGACAAAAGAATGCTCCTTTATAGAATAAGAGGATAGCTGTTTAACACACACACACACACACACACGTATTAAACTGAGTTGTGTTCTTGGTTCCTTTATGACACAGAGCAGAGGGTCACTGCTCTGAACACCAGGGCCAGGAGATCTAAGCCGAGCGCCAGATCAGTCCGTTCTTATCAGGCTCAAGAAAATTCTCAATCAAAGCTTCAATCAGCTTCTGAAGTTCTTCTTCCAGCACTTTTCTGTCACTAGAAAAGAGAACAAGGTGGTGTCGGAGGTTTGATAAACACCAAGCATCCATCTACAGCATAAAAAGCAGGATCTGATGGTGATGGAGCTGCTGTGTTTCCTATCAGCAACGATATGTAGAGATTCCAACCTACTTGCTTTAACAAACTACTTTTCCATAGGGACTATTGCAATATTAATTTAAACTATTAAAGAACTAAATAATCGCCACTAGAGGGCTCCAGCCTGGCAGAGGGGACACGACAACGAGTAACTGCAAAACCAAACCGAACTGGGCAGACACAGAGTGTAACTGGATTTAAAAGTAAGAAAGAGCTACTAGTAACAGGTAGAAACTCCCTTATTTTCTCCACACAGCATCCAAATGCCCATCTTGGGTGACATGGTCTCGGCTGAGGCATCCCTGCCCATGGCAAGGGGGCTGGAACTAGATGATCTTAAGGTGCTTTCCAAACCAAACCATTCCATGATTCTATGATTTCTGATTGTATTTTGGCTAAAGAGCCATTTAGGAGGATTGAGTAATCAGGCAAAGTGTCATGGATCACAAGAGGACACTGTAATATGCTGATCCTTTCCCTATTTAAATGCCCAGACATTCATTTCAGCAAAACCATCCACATGCACTAATGCATTGCAAAACCCCTTTAAAAACGCATAAGCCTATGCCAGAGGTCTCAGTGAAAGGAGAGGAACTCAGCCTGGTTTTAACAGGGAGTAGGCAAAACAGGCTTATTTACATCTGCTTGCTTCATTTGTGGAACTGGGAATCCAACTTTGCACTTCAGGTCACCACTTCCTTTTAAAGAAACCACCCCAAAATGCTGTGATAAAATTGACTTTCCTGATGTTGAGCTCTTTAGAATAATCAATAAACAGCAAGTCAGAGTATCTGCAGTGCTGTTAGGGAGAGGAATGCCTTTTGAGGTTCCTACGGACCATTTTAGGCCTTGAACCAGGGAAGCTTGAGAGCTTTTCAATTTTGAATCACAGAATCATTTAGGTTGGAAAAGCCCTTTAAGCTCATCCAGTCCAACCATTCCCAGCCCTGCCAAGGCCACCACTGACCCCTGGCACTGAGGCCTCGGCTCCACGGGCTGTGAACACTTGCAGGGACGGTGACTCCAGCCCTGCCCTGGGCAGCCTGTTCCAATGCCTGAGCACCCTCTGGGCAAGGAATTGTTCCTCAGCTCCAGCTAAACCTGCCCTGGGGCAGCTTGAGGCCGTTTCCTCTTGTCCCATCCCTTGTTCCTTGGGAGCAGAGACCAGCCCCCTCCTGGCTCCATCCTCCTGTCAGGCACTTGCAGAGAGCGATCAGGTCCCCCCTGAGCCTTCTCTTCTCCACACTAAACCCCCAGGTCCCTCAGCCCTTCCCCATCACACTCGTGCTCCAGGCCCTGCTCCAGCTCCGGTGCCCTTCTCTGGCCCCACTCCAGCACCTCAATGTCTCTCTTGCAGTGAGGGGCCCAGAACTGACACAGGATTCGAGGTGCAGCCTCACCAGTGCCCAGCACAGGGGGACAGTCCCTGCCCTGGCCCTGCTGCCACACTGGTGCTGATACAGGCCAGGATGCTGGTGGCCATTTCATGTTCCAGGTAATAATGGCCATTAACAATAGGTATTACTAAAATTAAAGGTCAATGTATTTTTCTGACTTACTAGAATGAACAGCAGCAGAAGCTTAAGTGATGCACCAAAACATCCTCCTTGCTTTTGTTTCTCTCTCCACTACTCTTAACACAAGCAAAGGCCAGGCAAGGGCAGTATTTCTAGCATTTCTTTCTTCCCTGTTGGGGTAGCTGTTTGTCTTAAACATATCTTACCTTTTCTTACACCAAATGGTACCTTGCCCACTCCCAGGTCCATGGAAACATGTTCCAACTGAAGTGAGGATTTCCATACCCTTGTAAGAAGTGACTTCACATGCCACACAATCAGAAAGCTCTCCGACTGAATAAATACCAGGTTCTGGCAAGAGCTGCCACTCAGAAAATGGGGATGTAGAACTCCTACCACTTCTCTGACCTGCTGTTATTCCATGGTCAATTCAGAACAACTAAAAGCATGATGCAAAGATGGGCCATACCTGTGTTGATGCCCTTCATGTAGTTCTTCCCTGGGAGGGTGCTGAGGCGCTGGCACAGGGTGCCCAGAGAAGCTGTGGCTGCCCCATCCCTGGCAGTGTTCAAGGCCAGGTTGGACACAGGGGCTTGAAGCAACCTGCTCTAGTGGAAGGTGTCCCTGCCCGGGGCCGGGGTTGGAGCTGGAGGAGCTTTAAGGTCCCTTCCAACACAAACCAGTCTGTGGTTCTATGATTCTATATATAGCAATAAACCATGGTTTAAGGAATACTTCAGCAACCTGTGGAAAACTGTCTAGGCTTGGATTTGTGTATCCCCCCACATGTACATTTTACAAGCAAGGGCAATCTACCACTCACTGTCTATCCACTGACTGCCTTAATCTGACCAAAGCATTCAGCTCAGCCTGAATTCCTGCCAGTAAGTAGAAAGAAATACCAAATCAAAGCCCCCTGTGTATTATTTCTAGTCTCTGTTCGACAGGAATATTGGAATAAGAGCATAAAATGGGGGATGATCTTGCAATTCAGGTTAGGATCCAGCTCAAAAGCTGCTTCTTCCCATTAGCTAGACTGAGAACCTAGGCTCATGCACACTCCTGATTTCAATGGTGCAAACACACCCTGTACTTGCACACTCACCTTTTAAACTGGAAATAGCTTAATCCAGGCAACTGTCAAAAGGGGACAGACCTCTAGTGACTATCCAGTAGCTCAGAGCAACACAGATTCCCAAATGCAACAGGAATCCACTTGGGTTTAAGCAACCTGCCAGCAGCAGCACTTAATCACTTCTTAATTTCAAGTGAATGAGGAATTGGGTTAATAAATGAGTCTCCTCATGCAGCAGATGCTGAAAATTAATTTCTTTGTCTTATTCACTACAGAGGAGA